CTTGATGGTTTCCTGTCTCACATTCAGGTCCTTTATCCATTTTGAGTTTATTTTTGTGAATGGTGTGAGAAAGTGGTCTAGTTTCAACCTTCTGCATGTTGCTGTCCAGTTCTCCCAGCACCATTTGTTAAAGAGACTGTCTTTTTTCCATTGGATGTTCTTTCCTGCTTTGTCAAAGATGAGTTGGCCATACGTTTGTGGGTCTAGTTCTGGGGTTTCTATTCTATTCCATTGGTCTATGTGTCTGTTTTTGTGCCAGTGAAATTAGTCTTCTAATCACATCACTCAATGTTTAACCACAATACATCCCTGAGATATTTTAGATGCATTTATTATTTTTTCTCTTTTGCTTTCTTTTCCTTTTAATAACTTAAAAGTTCTATATCCTAATTTTTGCTAGCAGTTATTATATTATTTAGTAAATGTATTTCTCTGACAAGAATCAATAGCGTATATAACCTTACTTTTACCATGCCTCTCCCAGGTTTTATTTAAATAAAACATTAATTTTTAAAAATACAGGTCATCTATTTAAGGAGTAATTTCTTATTTTACTCGAGTTCTCAATCATTGTATCAGTGATTAGTTATTCTTTATCATTGTTTATCTTTATTTCACATAAATTTGATCTGATTGATGTTAGTTTTCATGCATCTAGAACTTTCAAAAGTAACTTTTTTTCAGAGAAAATTTTACATTTTCTGAGTTACAACATATCCAAAAGATCGTTTTTGTTTTCCTCATACTTAGGTTTAGAATTGTGGAGGCCCAATCCTTTTTCCCTTTGTTTTCTGCAAACCTACTTCAGTTGTGTTCTGTCATATAATTTTGTTGATGAGAGGTAAATGCCAGTGTGAATTTTTTTCCTCTGTAGGTATCTGCTTTTATTGAGGATATAAGAAATCTTGAGTATTCTTTTAATCATCAGAATTCAGTCCCCCTACCTTTCTGATATAGTCCAGTTTATCACTTTTTTCTTTTACCTATCATGCTTTTAGTCAGAACTCCTTACCTAGCTCTAGGTCCGAGAGATTTTCTCCTATATTTTATTCAAAAAGTTTTGCTTACTTGATAATTTTACCTCATCCTTTTACGTTTAAATATATGATCTACTGTGAATTAAGTTTTATATTTGGTATGAGGTTTAGGTCAAAGTTCATATATTTGTCTATGAATGAATGTTCTTTTTTCTTCTTCTTTCATGAAGATAGAAGTGTTCCATTTATATGGAAGCATATGGAAAGTGCCATATACTTTTTATTTTGCTTCCCAGATTTTATTTCAAGTTAGTTAACATACAGTGTAGTATTGGTTTCAGGAGTAGAATTTAATGATTCAGCACTTACATGTAACACCCAGTGCTCATCCCAACAAGTGCCCTCCTTAATGCTCATCACCCATTTAGCCCATTCCCCCTCCTACCCACCTCCCCTCCAGCAGTCTTCAGTTTGTTCTTTTTAGTTAACAGTCTCTTATGGTTTGCCTCCCTCTGTTTTTTCATCTTATTTTTTTACTCCTTCTCTTCCCCTACAAAAGGTTTATTTGAACAAATTATAGCTGAGAACTTCCCTAATCTGGGGAAGGAAACAGGCATTCAGGTCCAAGAAGCACAGAGAACTCCCCTTTTCAAAATCAACAAAAACAGGTCATATCAGTAGTGAAGCTTGGAAAATACAAAGATAAAGAGAGAATTCTGAAAGCAGCTAGGACAAAAGGTCCTTAACCTACAAGTGTAGATACATAAGGTTAGCAGCAGACCTCTCCACAGAAATAGGAATGAAGAGTCCGTTGCTCCAGCACCATTTGTTGAAAAGATGGCCTTCCTCCATTACATTGCCTTTCCACCTTTGTCAAAAATCAGTTGAGTACATTTGTGTGGGTCTACTTCTGAGTTTTCCATTTTGTTCCATTTATCTGTATGTCTGTTTTTATCCCAGTACCACACTGTCTTATTTCTGTAGCTCTGTAGTAAGTCTGACCTTGGGTAAAAATCTCACAAATTATATATAGGATCTGTATGCTGAAGAAAGCAAACACTGATGAAAGAAATCAAAGATTGAAATAAATGGAGATCCATTTGGATCAGAAAACAGAACATAGTAAAGATAACAAATCTGCCCAAATTAATTTATAGGTTTAGAGCAATTCCTATCAAAATCTCTCCCAGATTTTGATAGATACAGAACAGTATATTCTAAAATTTTTATGGAAAGGCAAAGAACAAAAATATCTAAAATAACTGAGAAAAATAAAAATAATACAGAAAGGGGATGCCTGGGTGGCTCAGTCGCTTAAGTGTCTGACTCTTGATTTTAGCTCAAACCATGATCTCACAGTTCATGGGTTTGAGCCCCATGTTGGGCTCTGTGCTGACAGCTCAGAGCCTCCTTGGGATTCTCTCTCCCTCTCTCTATCAAAATAAATAAATAAACATTTTAAAAAATAAAGCAGAAGGAATTACTCTGCTTGAATTATTTTGGAGCTGTAAATGATTACAGCTGTAAATGATATTATATTTTAAATGTCACTTTCCCAAGGTAATATCTAGAAATACGACTGATTTCTGTACGTTGATTTTATATCCTGGGACCTGGCTAAACTAGCTTCCTTGCCTCTTTACTTGAGGAGTCCAGGTCAGTTATTTTGTAGAATTCTGAATGTACTTGATTGTCTCTTCATAGTTTCATTTAAGTTGGTCCTCCATCCCATATATTTCCTGTTAACTGGTAGTTAAGTATAGTGGTTTGATCAGAATCAAGTTAAGCTTTTTAGTAAAAATACTTTATTGCATTGGAGAGTATTTTTTAATTTTATAAAAATTTATATTTTATTAAGTATTTTTATTTTTATTTTTTTTTCATGTTTATTTTTGAGAGAGAACATGAGTTGGGGAGGGGTAGAGAGAGGGAGACACAGAATCCAAAGCAGGTTCTAGGCTCTGAGCTATCCACAAAGAGCCTGACACAGCTCAAACTCACAAACTGCGAGATCATGTCCTAAGCCGAAATCAGAGACTCAACTGACTGAGCCACCCAAGTGCCCCTGTGTTTAATCTTTTTTTTTAAGAGAAAGAGTAATAATTCTTATATTTTGATTGAAAATTTTTACAAGTCCATGTCCTGAAATTTATATTACAGTTTAAAAAAAAGGAGGCTTGGTTTTTTGCTATTATAACCATGTAGAAACCTTTTCACTTTGAAGACTCATACTACTAGAACACTATATTAAACCACAAATTTGGGGGTAATACATTTTAATTTTATTTTAATCTTTTAAGATTTTACTTGGAAGAACCTCCAGGAACACAGAAGCTTTATTTAGGAAGAACTGCCCCACCATCTAAAGTGGTCCATCTTGGAGACAAAGAACAATCTAACTGGACAAAAGAAGTACAAGGAATTTCAGAATAGTGAGTGTCATAAAATATATTTAATGTCGTGAAAGTAGAATGTGATTTAATGCACTTGTCCTCTGACTTATTTTCTACTTAACATAGTAATCACTCTGAATACTGACTACATCTTCATTTTATGTTCTAAAGAAAATAATGAGTTCTAGTTTAAAATAATACCTGGTTAGCAGCAGTTACAGCCTTGACCAGTTTGTCACTAAAATACTTGATGCTGTACAAAAGAAAAAAAGACAGAATCACATAATACTGGGAATAATAGTTAAGGTTGCCTGCATTTGAGACTTATTTTTACTAATCATAAGGCCATTGAATTTTTGGCCATATGTAGTAATGAAAATAGGAAGGAAAATTGTCCTTTTTTTGTCACCCTTACTCCCTGCTCTCTCTCCTACCTTTCCTACATCTAAGTCCCATATGCCCTGAATTTAGAAATGCAAGGTCTGTACCAACCAAATAACTAAGAAGCTGGCCCTCCTCCATGATCCTACCATAACAGTACTTCCCATTCTTCATCCAAATACTAGAATCCTCTAAACCAAAACAGAATAATAGAGGCTGGCAGTGGCACATGGAATGGTGTTATAAATGTATATCCATCACCCTTCCTATTAAAACTATAATAGCATTCATTGATAAATGGGGAATTTGAGGAGACGCCTCTTATACAATTTTGGAGCTAATAGGCCATAATATGCTTATTCAAAGATGCATAAACAGGGAAAATGTAAAAACATTATACAAAACCATCCCAGTGTCTATGTGCCAAATGTGGAAGCACCCAAATATATAAATCAATTAATCACAAACATAAAGAAACTCATCAATAGTAATACCATAATAGTAGGAGACTTCAATATCCCACCCACAGCAATGGACAGATCATCTAATCAAAAAATCAACAAGGAAACAATGACTTTGAATGACACATTGGACCAGATGGACTTAACAGATATATTCAGAACATTTCATCCTAAAGCAGCAGAGTATACATTCTTCTCCAGTGCACATGGAACATTCTCCAGTATAGACCATGTACTAGGACACAAATCAGCCCTACTAAGTAAGTTCAAAAAGATCGAGATCATACCATGCATATTTTCAGACCACAATGCTATGAAACTCGAAATCAACCACAAGAAAAAATTTGTAAAGGTAACAAATACTTGGAGACTGAAAAACATCCTACTAAAGAATGTATGGGCTAACCAAGCAGTTAAAGAAATTAAAAACTGTATAGAAGTCAGTGAAAATGATAGCACCACAACCCAAAACCTCTGGGACGCAGCAAAGGCGGTCATAAGAGGAAAGTATATAGCAATCCAGGCCTTCGTAAAGAAGGAAGAAAGATCTCAGATACACAACCTAACCTTACACCTTAAGGAGCTGGAAAAAGAACAGCAAATAAAACCCAAAACCAGCAGAAGACAGGAAAAAATAAAGATTAGAGCAGAAATTAATGCTATCAAAACCAAAAAAAAACAGTAGAACAGATCAATGAAACCAGAAGCTGGTTCTTTGAAAGAATTAACAAAATTGATAAACCATTAGCCAGTTTGATCAAGACGAAAAAGGAAAGGACCCAAATAAGTAAAATCAAGAATGAAAGAGGAGAAATCACAACCAACGCAACAGAAATAAAAACAATAATAAGAGAATATTATGAGCAATTATATGCCAATAAAATGGGCAGTCTGGAAAAATGGACAAATCCCTAGAAACATATACACTACCAAAACTGAAAGAGGAAGAAATAGAAAATTTGA